CACTCCCTCCCGCCTCACCCAGGCGGGAGCAGTCATTCGATGATTTTCCCCCCTTAAAAAAAATAAAAAAAAGGCCATTGCCGCCATTGTATACAAGAAGTGTAAATAAATAAATAAAAATTTGGATTATTATTTCAATTTGACTTTATCCTGTACTTATCTTTTTTTATCTATCGATGCCAAGGTCACCTTATCTTGTTTCAATTTTTCCAAAAACGTCATATTACAAAGTAGATCCTTACTTATCAATAAATATCTTTTTTTATAGATAACTAGTCAAGTGTAAGAGTCATGTTTCGACACGAATGGGCCGGCTCGACCGGAGTCCGACGTGAAGCAACGCTTTCGTTGTGTTTCGTCGTGTGAGTGAGGTTACCGGAGGCCCAATTACCCTTTCCCCAATCTCCCCAATCCCTGAATCCCCAACGATCGTCAAACTCCTAATCCCCAAAAGGCCGGTAACGCATTTGTAACGCCTCTGGTGTTCCAGGTGTCCATGGGCGACGCTGATTGCTTACCATCAGGTGATCCGTCTGCTCGTATACCGGCTTATGCCATAATAAAAACAAACAGGTTACAAAGGTTGACAATTTTGAAATGCTTGTGAGTTTTGTTTGACATTCGTAGAGGTCGGTGAAAACGGACTTTATTCAACTAAGTAGGTAGTCTAAGCTAAGACTACCTCGTTGACCGAGTGGTCGCAAGTACGACTGCCTGGCAAGGTACGTCTATCCCCGAAGGGGTAGGCAGAGTTGCACATTACGGCACTTAATGGCACTGTACAATGTATACATAAATGCTCCAAGTATTGTGCTCAAATACAGATTAAACATTAGGCAATATTAAGTTGCTACAATACTACAGAAAAATATGTAAGTAAGTAGTTATTATTACTTTCGCCCAGTTTTCACTATTTATCTTATGAGAGGATGAGCATATTGCCATATACCGCGTATAATTCCAGACTCCGTGCTACTTACTACTGAGAATTTTTAAAAAACGCAATAATACTTTTGCCTACCTGGGAACTGAACCCAAAACCCCTTACACGGCAGTCGCAATTGGCCGACTTCTAACCTGATGATAATATGATACTAATGATAGTTATTTTTTTCTTTTCAGTTTTGACTCAGTTTTTGGTTTTTTGAAGTCGGTTTTTTAAACGCAGTTTTTATTTTGTTATAACATTTATTTATTTATTACTTACTTATCTTTATCTTTACAGGTTAATGTCCTATGCGATATTACGGGATATCGTGTCAGACAATGATAATTTGAAATTAGGCAATGGTTTATGAGTTGCGGCGTCTTTGCCATTGTAAGTAAGTACTACTGGTTATCTTATCTCTCTTTTATCATAAGTTTAGCAAGTGGCGGAAAATTAGGTTATCGATCACAAAATGGATTGGTAATAAATTTAATTCCTATCGATGACATCATAGGAATTAAATTATGATTATTTTATCGATGACATCGTATGCTAGCTAAGGAAAAGGCGGGACGCGTGAGGCAGCGAAGCACTGCCTCCTCGCAACCCAGCCATCGCGAAGGACACACCGGGCGTCGGGGATCGCGAGACGATCTCCGGCCACCGTAAGCACGGGCCTGCGGACGGCGAGCATGGGTGGCTCCCCGTCCGACCAGAAACAGACCCGAGCGTACGGCGCGTCGCGTTCCGCGCGCGCCTCAAAGAGCCATCAGACCACCACAGATGGGGCCCAATAGGGCCGATGCCGATTCGGAGTCGCGGAGAACCTAACGGGTAACCGGGGCTCCGGCTCGACGTGCAGGAGAAGGAACGGGGTGGTTTTTAGTCAGTAAGAGTCTGACACTCCCTCCCGCCTCACCCAGGCGGGAGCAGTCATTCGATGATTTTCCCCCCTTAAAAACAAAAAAAAAGGTCGACGTCCACTTCTCATGCATGAGGGTGCGGGTTCGAAACGTACCAATGTGACTTTTTCCGAGTTATATGTACTTTCTAAGATTATTTAGACAAACGGTGAAGGAAAACATCGTGAGGAAACCTGGACTTATAATTTATAATTATAAGTTTGAAATCGCCAACCCGCATTGAGCAAGCGTGGTGATTAATGCTCGATGGGCAATGGGCATTTATAGGCTGTTGATGTATTGCTAAAATTAATTACTGATGTGTCCATCCAATAAAGTAAATCACTTATAATACATTGATAGGTACACCTAAGCCCACTACAAGTTTACATCTTTACATCATTTAATATTCAAATTACAACAAATTGCATCATTCACATTATTACGCACCAAATGGTGCAATTATGTAGGAACAGTGTTTTGTCCAATCACACCAGCTGTCAAATATTGAACATCCAATCGTATGATACTACCTAATACCCTTTTGGGCAAAGGACGAGAGGTACACACTAGCGACATCTGGTAAGCAAAGATACGGTATATCTTGAAAGAAAGAAAGAAAGAAAGAAAACCCATTTATTTTTGCGCAAAACACACATAACATAATTAAAAATAAAATAAAAAAAAACTAAAAAATTAAAATGAAGTGAAGTCTTGTCCATGGTCCACAGACTTTATTATTTTACTGAAATCATAGAATATTTAATATCTGTTATTATCTGTGGACCATAGGCAAGGAACACCCTACTTACTTCATATCTACTATCTAGTTGCATGCATTCACTGCATGCATTTCATAAAATTGGATAAAGGAGTATCTATATGTAAAAGTTTAATTATAATAAAACAATACGAAGCCATTATAAGTACTTGATACTAGTGTAACCCATTGCCCTAATACTGTGCGTCATGTATGCGTGCGCAAAAATAGGATATGCTCAGCAATTTCTGCGACTTAAACCTCAAGAGGTTAGCGTCGCAGCGCTGATTTTCAGCACATCCTTGAAGGTTGTTTAGAAGCCCGCGCCATACGCCGGCGCCGTGCGCTGTGTCAACACTGTCGAGGAACGCGTCACGTATCTTTCCGACTTCCATTGACGAGGTACTATCACTATGTCGGCGCACCACGCTGTCTGGCTAGCGATACAAGTTTTGTGATACTAGATATCACAGTCGTTGACTTGTTTACAGTCAGCACGTTGTTTTTTTAATCATAATCAAGAATGCATAAACATTTTTTACAATAGATAAGTTCGCTATCACAAAACTTATCGAACTATAGATAATTCCTGAAATTTTATTTGACTCACTAATTTCGTCAATAGAAAATTGGATTTATTATAAAAATAAGTTATTAACTGGAAAAACTTTGATTATTACCGAAGTACCGTTGATCTGATGTAGCTACTAATAGGAGTTAAATTGAAACTCCGTATTTAGTGCCTGAATTGCTGGTTCATATATTCGTTTTAGTTTGATCTCAATACATACAAAAATAGGCTTGTGTAGTTCGCGAACGAACTAGTTCAAAAGAGCGCTCCCACATTCAAAATATGCGAACTAGTTCACGTCATTCCCAACTCCTTAGTTCCTTAGTTCGTATTTCAAAGTACAAGTACTCAAGGATTGTGAAGTCGTTTATATGTATAGTCTATGGTGAAGACCGAACTAAAAAATGCGATAACATATGATCTTACTTGAAAATTATATACCTTAATATTTCATTACGTGCAGGAACTTGCATCAAAACTAGGGAGCGATTTGGCTGCCAGTGCGTTCCTAGTTCCTATGCGATTCATTCCAATTCCAACTCCAACTGGGAGTCGGGAGCTGACGAACTAAAAGAGCGAACTAGTTCGTTTAGGAGCGGCGAACTGATCTGACTGATCTTAGTCGCGAACTATTAAGCACAAGACTATACAAAAAATCACCATCTTAAGCAAGTCGTTGTAACGAAACCATAGCTTGCTTTTAATCGCGCCAACGCCATCTAGTTATAAAAATTGAACTAAATTAATGAATATGCATTTTATGGTTTCGTTACTTTGGTGTTGAGTTTTGATCATCAATAAAATTCCTTGTTTTATTAGCTACCCAAAAACATAAAATCACTACATAGTATAAAACAAAGTCGCTATCCGAATTATGTTTCGGCGGTCGGGATTTTGATTACAAAAATATTTATTAATTAATTACAATTTAGTTATATTAATTTGTCAATACAGGATATATTTAGCTGGTGATCGCGATTAGACTGGCTATCTAATGTCATTATACAATGCAATTGTAAATTGAGTAAATGCTGAGTTGCATAAAGCCCTAGCTGCTATATCATCAAAAGGGATCGAAATAGAGGGTTACGATGAGTTAACTCCTCCCTCCATAAGATAGATGCAACTCTTCAAGCAAGCCATCAGACCACTATAGATGGGGCCCAGTCGGGCTGATGCCTGATACGGAGCCGCGGAAGGCCTAACGGGTAGCCGGGGCTCCGGCTCGAAGATCAGGCGTAGGAACGGGGTGGTTTTTAGTCAGTAAGAGTCTGACACTCCCTCTCGCCAACCCAAGGCGGGAAAAAAAAAAAAATGACTTTTAAAAAAAAAAAAGGTTCGTAGATACTGTATAGATTGTTGCAAAACTTGATACTGCTCCGGTAAGGGTATGACTTCATTAATGACGACAGTGTCCGTGTGAGACCGCAGAGTCTTGTTTAAGACGTTCATCTGGCAATCTCCTGTGAGGGTGATGAGATAGATTCCAGATATCTTTTTGTACTCTGTCTTAGTCTCGGAACAATAACTAGGCATGGAAGCCAGGCTAAAATAGCAATTTACAAACATATATCTGATGCTCTCGCTCTTTGTACGATTTTGCGTAGGCGAGAATGAGACCGCAAACTGAACATAGTTCTGATAATTTGCAGGTTGTCACAACTTTCAGTGGACTCATTACAATCTTAAACAGACTTATTCAGGATAGCCTTAGTGTGACATAGAGTTTTAATAACTTCATCTTCTTTGAGAACAAGTAGCCAGTTGTTATCTCCAATCTTCTGAATTTGTTTTGTCTTTATTTGGTATAGAAAAGAGATGAATAAAGTCATAGGTTTCTTAGGCGACAGTAGGGATTTCAAGTATAAAATTGACAGAGTGTTCTGTACTGTAAGCTTTAAACTTAATTGACTGTTCTATCGTATACATATTATTTATTTTTTATTTATTTATTTACACTTTTTGTAGATATACAACGGCGGACTTAATGCCTAGTGGCATTCTCTAACAGTCAACCTTAGGGTGGTGCAGAGAGATACAATAGTAGGTGTAAACGTTTAACACTTATTAGAGTGACACAATAATTAACATTAACATTAACATCATATATAATTATACATATCACACAATATATACTAATTAAATATAATGAAGAAGTATTAAAATATATACGTAATGCAAAACGAACAGTAGACAAATAAGTATGGGACATATATATACCTAAATATACGAAGAAAAATACATAACATAACATATATACATACATAATTATACACATACATATATGTAAATACGTACAAGACCTAAGTGTGTGTTGAGTCTGCTAGCCTCTTCTGTAGATACTCACGAACCTTAAATTTGAAGGACAGACGACTGGTCGCCGTCCTGATATCCGTCGGCATCGCATTCCACAGCAAGATGGATTGGACGAAAAAAGAAGAGTGAAGGAAGTCAGTTCGATGTGTGGGACATTGTAACAGAAGATTATTAGAAGAACGGAGGTATTTGCTATGGTTAGCGCTCACATACTGGAAATATGAGGAAAGATAAGTAGGAGAATTGGGAGAATTAAGAAGGGAGAATAAAGTGGTTAGCGCCCGTTGTTCCCTGCGCTGACGTATGGGCAACCACTTTAGTTGCAATCGAAATGCAGAGACATGGTCGTACTTACGCAGGTTGAAGACGAATCGAATGCAGGTATTCAAAAGGCGGTCAAGTTTGTTAAGTAGATCTGCATTCAGGTCGAAAAAACACACATCAGCATAATCAATAATGGGGAAAACCAAGGACTGGACAAGCATTATCTTAGCAGAGGACGGAAGAAAGTTTCTCAAACGATACAGAGCCCGCAGCGTCCCGGTGACCCGTTGGCATATGCTAGTGACATGAGCACGCCAGTTTAAGTTACTGTCAACATACAAGCCAAGATTCTTCACGTCGCCGCTGAAAGGTATGATCGCACC